AGCAGTGGTCATGTTTGCTAAAAATGACTACTCATGATGAACTTTAATATGCTTGAACTAGATAGATGTAACAGACATACCTTGCGAGGGGTCAAGGGCAGTTGAGAAGGTTATGTTCTTAGAGGACTCATGAAACTAGAAATTGTGAATAATGCAGAATAAGTGCACGTTTTGGATTTTGGTTCATTTGTGTTTCAGAAACTCTACTTAATTCAGTAGACCATCAATTAGAACAGAGTTATATTCCTTAATCTTGGTGCTTAATTGAATTTCATGCTAACTAATCTGAAGAAGAAATGAAAAAATAAGGTTATGTTTTACATTCCTCCCAAAAAAAAGCCAATTTTTTTTTTTTAACGTACCAGCCATTTCCCACCAAGGCAGGGTGGCCCAAAAAGAAAAACAAAAGTTTCTCTTTTTAAATTTAGTAATTTATACAGGAGAAGGAGTTACTAGCCCCTTCTTCCCGGCATTTTAGTCGCCTCTTACAACACGCAGGCTTACGGAAGAAGAATTCTGTTCCACTTCCCCATGGAGATAAGAGGAAATAAATAAGAACAAGAACTAGAAAGAAAATAAAAGAAAACCCAGAGTGGTGTATATATAAATGCTTGTACATGTATGTGTAGTGTGACCTAAGTGTAAATAGAAGTAGCAAGACTTAACTGAAATCTTGCCTGTTTATGAGACAGAAAAAAAACACCAGCAATCCTACCATCATGTAAAACAATCACAGGCTTCCGTTTTACACTCACTTGGCAGGACGGTAGTACCTTCCTGGGCGGTTGCTGTCTACCAACCTACTACCTAGGAAAAAGCCAAATATCTTTTTATTTTTAACCTTTTGACTGTTTCAGTTGTATATATACATCTTACGAGCCAATGTGTTTGACATATGTACTCAAAAATTCTAACGGCTTCAAATCAAGCAGGAGAAAGCTGGTAGGCCCACATGTGAGAGAATGGGTCTGTGTGGTCAGTGTGTGCAGTATAAAAAAAATCCTGCAGCACGCAGTGCATAATGAGAGAAAAAAACTGGATTAAAACAACGACTTTGAGGTGTAGTATTTTCGTATAGTTTTTATGGTTATATTCTCGTTTTCCTAGTCACATTTGATAGAATGGAAAACATATTATAGAGATGGAGGTGGTTTTGATTGGTTTTACTATGAAAAGGACCTTGAAATGGAGCTCAAAGCAGGGGAAATAAATGTCCAACTAGTCATTCTAATATGCAGTCATGAATGGGTTGACATTATTTATACAATTATTACAATATTGCAGTAGTCTGCATAACAGTAAATCTTCTATTTTTTGTTTGAATAAATATTCAAAATAGAAAGCAAGAGTAATATCAGATGGGCCTGGAGACGTGACTGATGAACAAAGAAAATGTTATTTTAGAGCCAAGAATGTGTGCATTGTTCATTTTGGACCCTATTTTGAAATTTGCATATTTTTTAATTTTCTTGAAATTGGCCAAATTGCCAATTTCTGACCACTTTATTGGGTAGTTGAAATCGGTAAATGGGCAGTTTCTTGTACTCAGTCGATAGAACAAATGGAGTTCTAAAGAAATAGCTATGAGTTTGGTCAACTGGAACAATGGAATTAGCCGAAAATAGGGCTCAAAGTGGGCAAAATCGCCGATTTGTAAATATCGCCGAGGTTGCTAACCGCGAGAGCGTAATTCCATAAGTTTTCCATTGAATTTCGTACTTTTGGTGTCATTACCATCAAGAAAAGATTCTCTTATCATTTCATAAGAAGATTTTTTTTTTTTTTTTTTTTTTCAAATATTTTGCAACACCAGGAGACACCTCAGGATTTGGGGTTGCGACACTCAGAGGGTTAAATACTCTATCATAAAACATGAAAAATTATAAATTTTTTATTACCTTATGTTGTAGTTGCTGTTTGATGCCTTGTAGGCTTGAACTTCCTGCGAGCATAGGTAAGTTTATTTAGGTGCAGGTACACATAAGGACAATTATCATGCATAGTAACATGTGTAAATTCCCTAGGATAACCAAAAAAAAAAAAGTAAAAAAAAAAAACTAATTTCCACTGGGGCACATTGCCATATCTAGATACCATCGGAGCCTCACAATTAGTCATTATTATCTGAGTGCCTCCAGCATCATTAGTGTTCCTCTTTGTGTGCCACAGTCTGTGTCCAGAGATGAGATGAGGTGATATGAAGATATAAAACTGATTGATAAATATAAGAATCATTCTACAAGTGATACTTCTAGAATGTAACTGGTGACATGGGTGACATTGTGAATTGAAAACTCCCTCCCCTCAAAACAAAACAACTACTGTACTGTACTCAACCATAAGTCTAACAGAATGGAGGGGGACACAATCCATAGCACACACTACACAAACTTCACGTCTAGACTGATTTTTTCCTGCTTTTCCAGTCTATAGTTTTTACATTACAATTTCTCAGTCACTCTAAGACAGGCTTGTGCATTGTAATTATGTTCTAATTGACTATCTACTGTATATCACTTTAATCTAGTTAATGGGTTTGGGTGTAAGAAAACCAGTGAACCAGAACAAGTTTGATAATTGAATCTATAATTTGATGTGAATAAACAATCCCATAAATTTGTAGGGACTACTTTATAGACAGTAATTACCTATTTAAACCATACCCCCGGCCGGGATTGAACCCGCGGTCATAGAGTCTCAAAACTCCAGCCGTCGCGTTAGCCACTAGACCAGCTAGCCACAATAAGATTCATCCAACTAGGTATATTTCTACACCATAGGAAAGTTAGCACAGGCACCTCTGTGACCACAAATGCAAGTTTTTACGGACAAATCTCATGTCATGTTGACGGCAGTGAAGGGACTTGAGCTAGAGTTCGTCACGGCCACGCTAGCTGGAGATTCGTCTGTAAAAACTTGCATTTGTGGTCACAGAGGTGCCTGTGCTAACTTTCCTATGGTGTAGAAATATACCTAGTTGGATGAATCTTATTGTGGCTAGCTGGTCTAGTGGCTAACGCGACGGGCTGGAGTTTTGAGACTCTATGACCGCGGGTTCAATCCGGCCGGGGGTATGGTTTATTTGCAATCGTGTCATTACGATTTCTTGAGTCATTACCTATTTCTCATTACACATGTAAACCTATTCTCATTAACTGACTCGTGCAATTAATTGTTAACAGATAGAATAATTCATTACATCTGCTTCATCTAGTTTGTCAAAGTAGGTGTCCATGTTCATATATACCATTACTACTGCTAGACTTACACATTATGTTAAACATATACAGTAAAGGTTTACCAAACACTATCTGCTGGCACCCTGGGCTGGCACAGGTGATCACAGTATATATAACCAGTACACATAATGCGAGGAGAAAAATATTTCATTGTCAGATGTAATTGTGCTTGCTTATCATTTGTGTTGTGACAATGTAGGCATTGTTATAGGCAGTGGTAAAAATATTGTGCATGTTTGAAATAAAGCAGTGAAGCCTTCCCTTGAACATTACAGATAAATCCCTGAAACTCACACTAGGAATGATGATAACATGCTGTATGCCAAGTGCTATAGTTATATATCTTGAGGTCTGTATGTAAATACAGTCATTGTAAGTACAGTACTTACATAACAAAGTGCATGGATGTGTAGTCAAGAGATATTCTAAGTCTTCAAACATCATATAAATTTGATATGTCTCTTAGTAGGCTTTGGTAATATGAGTGTTTGTAAAATTCTGTAATTTTGTGGTTTGTCATTCCATACAGTAGACTGCCTCAAACACTTTTAAAATAAGTAGATAGTATAGAGGTAGGTGATTCTGTTGCAGAACTTGTTCTGTATCTGGAAGCTCATCATCAAGACTTCAGTGCTTTATAATGATGTGCAGCTCATTTTAAAACTGTATGTTTCCTTGAAGCACATGCAAAAATTATGTACTTTGTTAAGTCTTCAACTGTATATTGTACATATATTACTCTACAGTGCTGTACTTGGTTAAGTAATTTGAGCACTCACTGACTCCATGTTCAGGAAAAGCCATTTATTTTGTATACAAATAAAAGTGACAAAGAACAGGTACATAGTACAGCTAGTGATATGATTTAAATTTCAGAGATATTACAAGAAAACATAGCAGAGAAAATATATAATTATAGGAATTCTTAAAGTTATGGCATCCTCTCTGGTGTAATAGCCCATTTAAATGCACCATGCAAGATTTGCTCAGTATCCTCATAAAACAGTACTGTACATGTCATATTCTATGTTAATTTATCTTAATTTTTTTGAAGATTTGCAGATTTTGTTCTTTGAAACTTTATTTTTTAAGTGAATAAGTACCTTAAAAAATTTGCATAATGAAAAGCATTTTCTTAATTTATCATGCACTTAGCATGATAATTATTTATTTTGATTGTTCAGATAATAAATTTTCAGCATCTAGATAAAGAACGTGTAGTGTGCTGACTTGGAGCCATTAACATCATTTTCTTTTCTTTCTTTTCTATTTATAAAACACATGCCTAGCCTTTCTTTCTCAATTATATTACAACACCATATTGTTAATTAATATACTGTATTATTGTTTTAGTTTAGTTTGACTGCACATCAGTATCTCATATAGTAAGTTCTTGAAATAACAGACTTTTAAAATAATGGGCAAAATCCACTGGGTAAACTGCACTTTTAGCTCCTTTATTTTCAAAGTTTATTGTAATAATACAACTGTATATGACGGTACAGTACTAAGTGTACAATATATGATATTTCAGTGCTGTTTTTTGCCATATTTTAACATTATTCTGATTTAATGGACACTCAGATAATGCCCTTTGGTAGTCTGTTATATCAAAGGTTTACTGTTTGTTTTCTTGGATGCCATTATTTCACAGAATTTTATTATTTTCAAAATGAACAAAGTTGATAGACTAAAATATTTTTAAGTGTTATAGAGACTTACTGACCAGTCTGATGTGGTGATGCTAGCACTTGCTTGCAGGCACTCAGAACATCATTCGCCGCCAGAGCTTGGTCAAACTTCATTCCATTACTATTGAGGCTCCAATCACACGAGTTTTCAACATCATCACTGCTGCCCAGGAGAACTCCCCTACTTATGTTGCACAAGCTCTGGAGAAGGTGTTGGAGATACTGCGCTCCACCGAACTCTATTCTCCACAGCTAATATCAGCTACATCAGATAATGTCAGACCTGTCCCTGCCGACCCTGTAGCAACAGATCTCCTTGGGGGTCTTCTTTCGGTAAACATAGCCAGTAATATTATTGTTTAAGATATACAACAACTTTTCCTGTAACCAAGTGATTTTATGCACAATCTTTGTACACAAAACAAATCTTCACTGTAATTCTTGAATAATTTGTTCTTTATCCTTTTCATACATGATGTAAAATATATTTGTCCATTGACATGGTGTTACTGATTGTGTACATAGGCTAGATCAATCAATTTGTACTTAACTGGTCTGGCTAGTAATTGGATGGGGGACAGTATGAACACACCCTCAACCTTGATTAGCTACAAGTTTTTTTTGTCTATGACATGTGTATATACAAGTGGGCCCCGCTGTACAGCACTTCGTTTTACTGCATTTTGTTAATGCAGCAGTTTTAAATTATACCCATTCTTCATTTATTTAGACCTCTTACAGTAAATAAATTCACCACTCACTATAAGCTAAGGATGAAAATATTTTAAGGTAAGTTATGTGTGTAGTGTATATGCATTTTTTAGATCTAACTCTTTTGCTCACTTAATATATGATAATGTAAACATATTATCAGTTTTTTATATGCATTTGTACATCAAAAAAGACTGGTTCACTCTAGGCACTTTTCACTCAACAGCAGTATCCCAGAACCTAACCTGCTGTATGAGCAGGGCCTGTCTGTACTATACCACATGAATTTGCAAATGATTTCTTAGTTTGTCAACTATTTACACATTTGAGCGAGAATTTTCTCCCTATATTACTGCTAACTCTTAGGCTTGGCAAAGGTGGTTGCTGTACCAGACCTACTTCTTTTCTGCTTAGTCAACCTAAAACATAAAAAATCAATTAAATTGAAAATTGTTTATCTTAATTTTTATAGAGATTTTTAAATTGAATATCTTTATCTTAACAATTTATGTTGTCTGCTTGAAACATTTCATTCATACCCTCAATACTAATAGTCAAAATTTAAGTAACAAGGAAGCCATTATGACTTTATTCATAAATGTATGAGTATGAAGTACTGGTTTAGAGCATACTAGTACCATCCGACTTCCGACCTGCTCGACACACGACCACTCGTACTTACGACTGTATGTCTGGCAGCAGGACTGGGCTGGCCGATGCATACCGCTGTACGACAGTTGACTGCTACTCGCAGCAACGTGCCATCTCGGGAGAGCTCTCACATCACTCAGGCAGCATCACTCAGTTACCCTGCCCTATCAGCAGTATCACATTGTATTAACTGTACTGTACTGTACAATGGAACCTGACTTACAAGTTTAATCCATTCCATGACCTAGCTCGTAACTCAATTTGCTTGTACAGGTCTCCCTCAACATTCACGAGGGTTAGGAGATCAAGAGCCTTGCGAATGTTGAAAAACCGTGAATGTTTGGTGCCCCAATATATTGTAGGGAAATATAATACAATACTGCTTCCTTAACTTGTTGAACCATGAACAATCATAAAATACATGAAAACGTCGTAAATTGTACTAAATACATACGTTATGCCTTAACAACATGTATGTTATTAAATACCACTGCCTCCACCACTGCGAGTCCCTACTACCCTCCCTCCGACCCCCCACAACTGGCAGCCAGCCCTCCCAAAACTGTGTGGTGAGTGTTTTGTTTGTTTATTATTTGCTATTAAACTACAGTATAAATAATGTAAACCCATCCATGACTGCATATTAGAATGGCTATTCGGACAGGTATTGGAAGGTGACATCATGTGTTTACTCTTGAACACAGCAAAGAATCAAACATTTGTGCTACTGCTAATAGTAATAATAATAATAATAATAATAATAATAATAATAATAATAATAATAATAATAATGGTAATGATAATATAATAATAATAATAATAATAATAAATACGATAGAATTGAAGAAGGAAATTGTACAAAAATACGAGGGTTGAAGCAGTGGTGGAGGAAGTGGTTGACGCATCGTCAGTGTGGCTTTGTTTATGCTGGAGTGAGTATTAGTCTCCGTGCTCTTCCAAACATTTCACAATAATTCATTGTATTTGGTGCTTGTAGATTGAGTGTGACTGGAGTGGTAGAGGCAGTGGTAGAGGCAGTGGTAGAGGCAGTGGTAGAGGCAGTGGTAGAGGCAGTGGTAGAGGCAGTGGGTGAGGCAGTGGTATTTCCTAACATATATGTTATAAATAATAATAGTACATGTTAATAATAATAATAATAATAATAATAAATGTTATTCATAATGTACTATTATTATTTATATATGTTAGTAAATATCACTTCCTCTATCACTGCCTCTACCACTGCCTCTACCACTGTCTCACCCACTGCCTCTACCACTGCCTCTACCACTGCCTCTACCACTGCCTCTATCACTGCCTCTACCACTGTCTCACCCACTGCCTCTATCACTGCCTCTACCACTGCCTCTACCACTGTCTCACCCACTGCCTCTACCACTGCCTCTACCACTGTCTCACCCACTGCCTCTACCACTGCCTCTACCATTGCCTCTACCATTGCCTCTACCACTGTCTCACCCACTGCCTCTACCACTGCCTCTACCACTGTCTCACCCACTGCCTCTACCACTGCCTCTACCACTGCCTCTACCACTGCCTCTACCACTGCCTCTACCACTGTCTCACCCACTGCCTCTACCACTGCCTCTACCACTGCCTCTACCACTGCCTCTACCACTGCCTCTACCACTGCCTCTACCACTGCCTCTACCACTGCCTCACCCACTGCCTCACCCACTGCCTCTACCACTGCCTCTACTACTGCCTCAACTGCTGCCTCACCCACTGCCTCTATCACTGCCTCTATCACTGCCTCTATCACTGCCTCTATCACTGCCTCTACCACTGCCTCTACCACTGCCTCTACCACTGCCTCTACCACTGCCTCTACCACTGCCTCAACCACTCCAGTCACACTCAATCTACAAGCACCAAATACAATGAATTACGTATTGTGAAATGTTTGGAAGAGCACAGAGACTAATACTCCAGCATAAACAAAGCCACACTGATGCTGCGTCAACCACTTCCTCCACCACTGCTTCAGCTCTCGTATTTTTGTACAATTTCCTTCTTCAGTTCTATCGTATTTATTATTATTATTATTATTATTATTTTTTTTTTTTTTTTTTTCAACAAGTTGGCCGTCTCCCACCGAGGCGGGGTGACCCATAAAAGAAAGAAAATCCCCAAAAAGAAAATGCTTTCATCATCATTCAACACTTTCACCACACTCACACATAATCACTGTTTTTGCAGAGGTGCTCAGAATACAACAGTTTAGAAGCATATACGTATAAAGATACACAATATATCCCTCCAAACTGCCAATATCCCAAACCCCTCCTTTAAAGTGCAGGCATTGTACTTCCCATTTCCAGGACTCAAGTCCGACTATATGAAAATAACCGGTTTCCCTGAATCCCTTCACTAAATATTACCCTGCTCACACTCCAACAGATCGTCAGGTCCCAAGTACCATTTGTCTCCATTCACTCCTATCTAACACGCTCACGCACGTTTGCTGGAAGTCCAAGCCCCTTGCCCACAAAACCTCCTTTACCCCCTCTCTCCAACCCTTTCGAGGACGACCCCTACCTCGCCTTCCTTCCCCTATAGATTTATATGCTTTCCATGTCATTCTACTTTGATCCATTCTCTCTAAATGACCAAACCACCTTAACAACCCCTCTTCTGCCCTCTGACTAATACTTTTATTAACTCCACACCTTTTCCTAATTTCCACACTCCAAATTTTCTGCATAATATTTACACCACACATTGCCCTTAGACAGGACATCTCCACTGCCTCCAACCGTCTCCTCGCTGCTGCATTTACCACCCAAGCTTCACACCCATATAAGAGTGTTGGTACTACTATACTTTCATACATTCCCTTCTTTGCCTCCATAGATAACGTTTTTTGACTCCACATATACCTCAATGCACCACTCACCTTTTTTCCCTCATCAATTCTATGATTAACCTCATCCTTCATAAATCCATCCGCCGACACGTCAACTCCCAAGTATCTGAAAACATTTACTTCTTCCATACTCCTCCTCCCAATTTGATATCCAATTTTTCTTTATCTAAATCATTTGATACCCTCATCACCTTAATCTTTTCTATATTCACTTTCAACTTTCTACCTTTACACACATTCCCAAACTCATCCACTAACCTTTGCATTTTTTCTTTAGAATCTCCCATAAGCACAGTATCATCAGCAAAAAGTAACTGTGTTAATTCCCATTTTGAATTTGATTCCCCATAATTTAATCCCACCCCTCTCCCGAACACCCTAGCATTTACTTCTTTTACAACCCCATCTATAAATATATTAAACAACCATGGTGACATTACACATCCCTGTCTAAGACCTACTTTTACCGGGAAGTAGTCTCCCTCTCTTCTACACACCCTAACCTGAGCCTCACTATCCTCATAAAAACTCTTTACAGCATTTAGTAACTTACCACCTATTCCATATACTTGCAACATCTGCCACACAACTCCCCTATCCACTCTATCATATGCCTTTTCTAAATCCATAAATGCAATAAAAACTTCCCTACCTTTATCTAAATACTGTTCACATATATGCTTCAATGTAAACACTTGATCTACACATCCCCTACCCACTCTGAAACCTCCTTGCTCATCCGCAATCCTACATTCTGTCTTACCTCTAATTCTTTCAATTATAACCCTACCATACACTTTTCCTGGTATACTCAATAAACTTATTCCTCTATAATTTTTACAATCTCTTTTGTCCCCTTTCCCTTTATATAAAGGGACTATACATGCTCTCCGCCAATCCCTAGGTACCTTCCCTCTTTCATACATTTATTAAACAAAAGTACCAACCACTCCAACACTATATCCCCCCTGCTTTTAACATTTCTGTCATGATCCCATTAGTTCCTGCTGCTTTACCCCCTTTCATTCTACGTAATGCCTCACGTACCTCCCCACACTTACATTCTGCTCTTCTTCACTCCTAA